GGGGGGGGGGGTGACACCCTCCCAAAATACGAATCATCTGGATTGGCAGGGCAATCAAAGATTGTAAATGATAGAATGCATAGAGTTATTAAGTAACTTACAGGGTTTTCATAGGGAATTTATAACTTTATAGAATTCATAGACCTGTCCTAAATTCTACAGATATTGGTCCAAAGAAAGGGTTTCACCCATGTTTTAACAGGAATTTGTACAGAAAAATTGTTTTGAACCTTAAAGGTGCTCTACAGTCCAATCTGTGCATGTGCACAAAGGAGCCCACTTTTTATGATACAAACAGTTTAACTATGTTTTGGGTTCTTGAAAAGCCTGATTGTTGTTTCTTGATCATTTATTATACTCTAGAAGCTTGATAATATAAATAGTTGTCGAATAAAGCTCAATATTTTGGATACAAAAATGTAAACAGAGGCTTTGTTTACATACGGACTGTAGGGCACATTTAATTTAACTGGTTTATGTCCGGAAAAATTTTTCGACTATCTTTTATAATGTCCGGGAAAATTTTTTCATCCGCCCCCTCCCCTCGCCAACATTTTTGGGAAAGTAAGGTCTCAGAAATAAAAATTTCCTGCAGGTAAGGGCAGGGCAATTCTGGCAGACACCCCCCGAATTAAGAGGGGCTAGTTTCGCCCCTGACAGCAACAACAACAGCGGCAGCAACGACAACAATAACAACAACAACAATAACAACGACAAGGAACCATAGCTATGACGATTAATTTACCGTTTGCAGAAGTAAATTTTCAGAAAATAGAAAGTCTTTAACATTTGCGCAACGACATACTGCTTCGATGTTCTGTAAAAGGTTTTGGGCTATGTTTGGGCATATATAATATGTTTATATTGATCTGTGTTTTTCTTAAAATACTAGTGATGAACTACCCGCGTCCAAGACTGAGGAACCTGGTACTGGTAACGAACCATCAGATGCGAAAAAAGCTGGGGATAATTTAGACGATGAAATATTTGAAAACAAAGACAACGGTGTCGCTTTCACTTTCCCGGAGAATACCGCAACCTCACGGACATCGCTCAGCACTCCCACGTCGCCGAAAAGGAAACCCAAGATAACAAGCTTAGATGAAGTATTAAAGTTGCTACACGAGAAGAGACTGGAGCAAGAACTGCTGGCTAAGCAGCAAACAAAATCTGAAAGAGCCCGGATGAGGTGGCAACACTCAATGCTAGTGGCTCTTCGGAAAACACGCAACATGCGCACGTATTCGAGCTCCGAAAATCTCAAATCGTCGGGGAGTTTCGGCTCGGACTCGGCGAACGCCGCCGCAAGTCCGGAATTGGACGAAAAGGCAGCTAAGGTCAAATACCGCGAAATTTCCGCCAAGTACGACAGCATTTTGGAAGACGAGCGACTAAAAATGCTTCGGCGAGAAACTTTGCTTAAAAAGCGACGAAATTCGTTAATTTTACACCAGGATATTTTACAGAAAAAATTGAATAAGTTTCAAGATGGCGGCAAGGGGACGATGAAAAAGCGGCAGTCGAAATCGGACGCGAAAGAAATGTCGGTGTCTTTTTCAAAAGGCGAAAACGGGGAAGTCGTGAAACAACTTGCGGATATCAATACGGAACTTGAAGGGATAAAGAAGGATATAGCGAGCAATCATGACGAACAACGCAAGATAAGTGAGGACCTTAATGAACAAAAACGCAAAGAACTGCACGAAATAAGATTAAATGTGGACTTGAGTCCTCAAACATCTAAAAGTTCCCTTCCCGAAAGCAAATTATTTCATCGGAGGCAAGTGTCGGATTCGTCACTGAACGAAAGTTACCGAAAAATGACTATAAATAATGACACATTGAAGTTGCCATTAACTCATACAATGTCGACACCGGCAGCCGATTCAAGTATTGTTAAGTCAAAATCTTTTTCGTCATCCGGTATTCCGAAGACAAAGAGTAGTCCGTTGTTACGAACAAAGACTTATGATAGTTCGGATGGGTTGAAGAGGCCGAAGGTAAAATCACGGGCAAGTCAGGAAGTAATGTCTCTGGCACTGTCACAGATTGAGGTGGGTTTGTATATAATAAGTCATAATAATCTCAGACTAATTCATGAGTAAATTGGCCAACCATATTGCTTTATTCTGCTCACATGATAATACTGGATACCTGGTGAAGTATATTGATCGAGTCCTAGGATTGGATCAAAATTAATTCAGTCCTTGGACTGGATCAAAATCAATTCACCTCACTTTAAAGGCACAGTTCAGCCTTTTGAACGATGGTTTTTAAGGCGCATTTCAGCTCTTAATTGAAAAAAACTAACTAGGAAAATCAATTAAGCATAATTCAAGATCACCAAACTCAATGTTTTTAACATTTTAAAAACATCGAGTTTACTGATTTTGAATTATACTTAATTGATTTTCCTAGTTAGTTTTTTCAATTAAAAGGGCTGAAATGCGCCTTAAAAACCATCGTTCAAAAGGCTGAACTGTGCCTTTAAGTAGTGATTTATTTGTTATGAGACATGTCATTTCAAATCCTCCAATTAGCCATTCCGAAGTTGATGAGTGGACTGGGGACGAGTGTTAAAAAGTGCCCAAATTAAGAAATGAACCAAATCACTAAAAAGACCACCTCAAAATTAGTAAGTATACAAAGTTTGAAGACGTTTACATGAATATCCTTCGAATAATAAGCTTTCGGAAATCGTGATATTTACTATGAAATGTATTGTAATTTTTGTTTTTGGGACGCGCGTCCCAAAACCAATCTTTTAATCAGTAATTTCACAATTTTCGAAAGCTTATTATTCGAAGGGGATTCATGTAAACGTCTTCAAACTTTTGTCCACATACTAATTTTGAGGTGGTCTCATTTCTTAATTTGGGCACTTTTTAACACCAGTTTGAACACTCGTCCCCAGTCCACTCATCAACTTCGGAGTGGTTAATTCGGACTGGACCGCGCGGACTTCAAATCTAGTCCAGTCCTCATAGTCGAATTTGAAATATTACGTTCTGTCTAGTCAAAATGACCACAAAATAGAAATAAGTAAATCTCTTTTTCGAAAAGTAATTATTACAAACCACAAATCACTTTTTTCAGAAGTAGTTAATTACTAATTACTTTTCATACTACTTCCTTTTTTGCACAATAATAAAATTGAAGATATTACAACAGTATCAAAATATACAGTAATGATTCTTATAAATTAAAATGTAACAAAAAAATGTAGGGAAAACTAGTGCAAACGTAACATTCAGTCGTTCTACGAACTTTTGGCCAAGATTGTGGATGTTTCGGTTTGAATGGCGCATAAGGGAATATGAACCGCAGGCCGCTGAGCGCAATTCAAGCTGGATAAAAAAACTACACGCACTAACCAATTTGCCACCAGGACTAATTTATCAGCTGAGTCAAGTGAAATGTTATCTATCTAGTTTCTGCTTAGACTACGTCATATACCGAGTTAGGGTGTACCAGGTAGGGTAGTTCTGTTTTGCGCACCTCTTCTTACCCCCGTTTTCCGCCTGTGTGTCTTCGCCCAGCTGTTCATATTCCCTTTAATACGCCATGTAAAGATTACAAAAGTCTCTAATCGGAGGAGAGAGTCACTGTGCAGTTGTTTTCGTTGACTTTATCACAGTGAAATCGCGTAAGGGAGTGAAACTAACAGTCAATATCCGCTGTCTTTGGCTTCATTCTCTTCAGCTTCTACAATGTTTTAACGCACCTTACTTTTCCAGGACTTCGAGGCGTTTGTTCAAGACTCGTATCGGAACTGTGGCGCTGATGTTGGTTGTTGAAAAAGCCTGGTAACGAGACACTGTCACCCAAGCAAGATGCCGCTTGCATCCTGGACATGGAGATGTCATAGGAGATGTATACTGTCGTATAACACTTGTATATCCTCACAAACTTTGTCTCACATCGAGACGTTATAGTGCCCCTTACACAAAATATTTTATTGTCTCATTTGAAAGAACATTTAATACCACAGAACACAGAGTAACAACTTTTTCAAATTTTTATTTTTATGCCTCTCTTATGAGTTATATCATGTTTTTTCGAAGTAAATTACAATTGAAAGCTTTTTTTATCTTGATCATTATCAAATGAAAACAACTCGTTGTGTCGGTTTTATTAAAAATCCTATTTACTTTTGTGGTAAATATATATTCTTCATGTGCAATGCATTATGAGGTAATTTATATATCAAACACAAGAACAGAAATTTGGAGTTGCTAACGAGACAATAAAAATTTTGGCGCTACCTAGGGGCACTTTAATATATTTCCTACGGAATATTGAAATACTACTGGAATTTCCCAGCAATCCAATTTAAGCAACAACAGTCTTACATTGTAACTCTTTTCCGCCTAAAATTTCCATCTCTCTCGTCCATCAAAAAATCTGAATGTGAGATGTTGTATGAGTGAGATTGATGACGTCAACTCGGTTTGGAGAATGAGAAAATATCGACACGAACGCTATCTTCATTTACAGATCTTTATTTATTACTGTGATGTGGGTGCGATAATTCAAGAATCTCAGCCGTACCTGACTGGTGCTCCAATAATTACTGCCGCGCACTTGAGCACCAACATATTAAGTCTTAGTCTTTAAGAGAAAGTACGTAAAGGACAATTTTCTGAAAGGTATTCATTCAGTAACCTAAGTTAGAACAAGATGGAACAAGAATTGTATATATCAACATTACAATTGACTCCAACATTCATTAGCCTCGTCAGTCAAATCGTGTTCCATCCCAACTCATGTCGGATTTACACATATACCTGCTAAATGCCTTGCGCATGGAAAGATCATGTGATCTTCCAACAAAATGTAAGTACGCCAGAGTCCCGTATTTGCGTGGCACTTGACTTAAAACAAAGAAGTTGTAAACCGTAATATTGGCGCACACCTCCGGTACGTATAAGTACACGGATTATCACACCACGAATGTGAAGATTTTCTTTGTTTTTGCTCATGAATAATGATGAGTTTGAGAAAGAATTATACATCCCATTTGGTTTGCTCATAGCTTATCGAAGGGAGGATCGCTATGAAACTCAATAGCAATGTCTTAGGAAAGTTACCTATCCGTGACTCGAACAACAGGGTAAATTGGAAATTGCTATTGGCGGATTTGGCAAAAATACAATACACACGTGACGGTGAAGGACCAGATTTACGAATAAACGTTGAGTAACATATAGATAATGAATTATATTGTTATTCTGATGAGTTTCACAGCCATCTTCCCTGCGATAGGCTATGGTTTGCTGTTCGTATAAATAGACGCTTGATGAATTTGCACACGCTTGAAATCGAGGCGGATGATGCAATCAATGTAAATAGTGTAGTTTCTATTAATGCCTGCCAGCAAATTCAGAAAGCGTCTATTAATAATACGCAGTTTAAAAAAGCGGGATGTGCTAAAGTCAGTATATGTGCTTACTATCAAAACAATATAATATAATTAAGCCAGGAAATAATATGCAAACGTTTTATATAGCACTATGAATTTAATATTTCATGTCGTAATAGACTTCACTGTTTATTGCATTTTTCCCCAAATAGCCTCGTTTCCATAGGCGCACATGAAGGTTATATCTCCATAATTCATGCACGCACAAGTTTCTCTTTTCTTATTCTATCTCTTGGCCCAATCACAAGCTTATCCTCAACCCTATTATCACGAGGAAATAAGTGCAATAAACAGTGCAGCAATTAATATTCATGTCGACTGTATTTTTGTAATATACAAATTTATATCCAGAATTGAACTGAAATTAATTTTATATTTCTAAAATCTTGTACACTATAATACTGCACTACGTTGCACGATGAATATATTAAATTTATGTAATGAAGCAAATATTAGACTATATTAAAGTATAAACAGACAAAATCGTTGGTCTCTTTTCATGTAAAATTTCAATAATTGGAACGAGTATTTGAAAATTTCAATAGACAACTTGCATGTTAGACTAATTTTTGATATAGGCAATAAGAACTTATTTAAAATTAGTAAAATTGTAAAATTTGTTTACGAAATGTTGTAAAATACGGAAAATATAGCCTTGCGAAGTTTGCATATTTTGTATACGTTTGTATGCTTACAAACAGATACAAAATTTGCAAACAATTTGCAAGGCTATATTTTCCAAGCTTTATATCATTTCGCAACCAAATTTTGCAATTTTACTAATTTCATTATGTTCTTTTTAGCTGTGGTGTTTGATTGCCTTCTCTTTACTTAGATTAAAATTTAGTCTAACATGCTAGTTGTCCATTAGTTTATTGTAAAGCGTGAGATTCTCACAAATAGATGCAAATATCAATGCATGCTTGGAAGAGGCGTTTATTAGACGGCGAGCGTTATTTGGAATGCACACGGTAATTATTCTAATTTTTATAATTGCATTAACAGTTGATAAGTAGGGATATATGGGAATATGGCGAGTAACTGAAAAACTATTCAAAATATACAACTTTGCACATAGTTGTCCTCCTCCTTTATACACAGATACTCCCATTTAACAATCCATATCCTGGTGTCTGTCAAATTGTCAATTCATCACATTCAATATCCGCATATTTATTTATTTTTATTGTTTTTAAAAATAATAAAATATGGCATATTATACTTCCATTTTGCATACACTAACTGTTCTTGTGTGCTGTGTTTCTCAAACATTGGAAGAAGATGCATTTTTGCCCGATCAAGGGAAATTTGATTTCAGCTTTGTCGCTGACAGTCAAAACAATGTAAGTATTTGTTTTGTATCTAAATACAACAGGTAACACTTCCTTGTTTATGACATTAGCTTAGAAGCCATTTATCTTGCTACTGATTACATAATCATAAACAGCTCTTTCATATTTACTGATATAACTGTATGCTTTCGTGAATGTGACAGAATATGTAAGGGTTCTAAATTTAGAAGGGTTCCGAATTTGGAAGGTTCTAAATTTAATTTAGAAGGGTTCTAAATTAATACAGGGTTCTTAATGTCTCAATCACGAAACGAGGCTCAAATCACAATATTGAAATATATTCTGTTTGTGGAAAAAAGCAAGTTGTTTATTTTAATTGTTTAATAAAGATCTGAAGTAGTTTTCGATCTTGATTATTAGGTGAATCTATAAATAGTGTTTCAGTATAAGTCGATCACTATCCACTCATTTAAGAGGCAGGGCAGCTAGATGCCTCCCCCCAGAAAAAATGAAAAGTCGTTAAGTTGGGAAAAAGTATGGAGGGAAACTCGAGCTGTTCGGTTAACTGAAAGATTCGGTCGGTCCTGTTCTTTTCTTAGCACCGGACGGGGACACTGAGCATGCGCAAAAGAACCGGTGGGTATCAGTTCCAATATGTTGCTCCGACTTTTAAAGAAATTTCCTGAGAATGAGGAAAAATAAAATTTTTAAGGAATTTCTAAGCTTTGTTCTTCAACAAAAAAGGCCCTTACTTGGCAAATTGCAAACAAATAATTGATAGTTTTATTTCAGAATACATTTATGAATGAATGGCGATATATGATTCCTCGGACGGTTTTGTAATTTAGGTGGGACTGTAAAAACGGTTTTGAAAAAATCCTCATATTTATCACTAGTTTATCAATAAACTACCTAGATAAAAAATAAAAGCAATCTATTATCTGTATATCACAGCATCATGATAACAGATCCTTGAACTCCAAAGTGCTTTTAAAGATTGAAACATCACGAACATTACTGAAGTGATGATAGGATATTAAAATTAAAAGATAATATATCATAATATAAGTGATGATCAATACTATGACTAATGAGTATAAATATTCCATCTGAATCCCCTGAGTGGAGAGTATATTAATGATATGTAATATACCAAGAAAAATTCATTTAATTCATAGAAAAAGTATGTATATTTAATTAACAATGATAAACATTTTACAACAACATTAAAACATTTCAGTCAAACTCTATAAGAAGCATTAATATAACAATGTTTAGCTACAATGACATGTATATCTCATGCTGCATTGCAAGATCATGGAATAGGGTGAAATACCATAAAAATCACATTGATCAGCACATGGTGCCAGGGTGCGATAATTTGCGTACATCATAATCATTGGCGTACCAGTCATGTTCAACTAAAAATATTGAATTATCACACCCTATCACAACTAAAAATCTTGAATTATCGCACAATTTAAAGTTGAGGTGTAATATTTTAAACAATTATTTGGAATTATATATTATAACTGTTGTGCAGCTCCAGATTACCCAGAAGTTAAATAGGCATGTTGCACTAGAGTGAAAGATATTTTGCAACATTTTTGCTGTGACTCACTAAAGTCAGCTTTAGTCAACAAATGCAAAAACCGTCTCTGTTCTGGCTGTTGCAACAAACTGAGGCGCCTTAACACTATATTTTAGTCAAGTAGGGGCCTAGCTGAGCTGTGGCCTGGAAATTAACAACAACAAAAAATTTAGTACAAGAATTTACTTTCAATAATTCAATCAAAGAAGATAGTTAACATCAACATTTTAGCAGTTACAATTAGCATGAATGCAACAATAAAAGCAAATTACAAAAATTGCAGTGAGAGAGAAAAAAGCCAGAAAGCTTATCTGCAAATAAAAATATATTGCAGTAATCTTGTGCATCATGTTGGTTAGACATCCACCCAGAAATATGTTATCTGGTCTGTACTTCTGTCCACAGTCGGGAGTTTCAACTTTACAGCAAGAGTCGGGGACAGTTTCATTGTTAAACTTGATATTATGCTGCCAATCTGATGGGCCCTCTACCCCACAACATTCCAATTTTTGCTGAATGTAATCCAAAATGGGGTCCGCGGAGCTATTTATTTTAGCCATCATATTCTTCCTTATATCGGACTCCACTCTTTTGCTGTCAAATTTGCTGACACTGTAACTTAGGCGGCCAACCACAACAATGACAATTATGAAAGCAAGCAGCAAGCAACAGGATGCAACTTTGTCACCACTTTGGGCACCACAGCAACAGGCACAGATGGCTGATAGGAATAAAAAGACTCCAATCGCAATCATGAGTTGATAAGTCGGCAAGAATTCATGTTGTGTGGCATCTTCAACATAGAAAAATATTGGCTCCTGATCATGAAGCTTCTTTGGGTAGTAGCCAACCATAACTCCTCCTGCAACGAGTAAGATTCCCAAAATACCGAGAAACAGTCCAAAGCACACTCTCACGTATGAGATTTCACCGTCACCCTTGGCTCCTCTGCTCTGGCAACAGGCAAACCATCCACCACCAGGAGTTTCTCCACCATAGTGATGAGACTGGTAGCGTGCAGCACGCGATCCTGCTCTCACACCTTCAGAACCAAAACCAAAACAATTGCCCATGCCGATATCAAGTTAACTAAAAAGTATGAAATTCTCGTTTAGTTTTTCATTTGATTTTAGCAATTTAAAACATTAAAATACAATAAATATAAACCAGCATCTAGCAATGTTTTTGCACGTATAGACTTTCCAAAGTCCTTTCCAGACCCTTCTTTGTACGTACCAAAAATGATAAGAGCGTTAAAGTAAAACAAAACGGCAGAACAATCATACGATACCAAAATCCAAATACTCAATTTCCTGGAATATCCAGTATCCAATATATATTTCCTGGAATTTCGATTTTCGATATTGCTCACGAACGTGCGATGTTTTTGGTCAGACTTATGAGAAAACTTGATAAATACTTCATTATAGAAAGTTAATATGTGAACTCGCATGAGAACATATATGAAGCGAATTTTTTATTACTATTTCCCTAGAAGACCCCTGGAAATCGACTTTAAAATGAACAATATTGCCGTTTCTTGTTCGTCAATATATATTTCCGTTCAGGGGTTATTGAAGTTTCTATATTTTTATTGATGACAACTACAGGGTGTATAAAAAAAACGCAACCTCGGAATTTCCCAAGAAATCGACATTGTTTTAAAGACAAAAGATTTTAGGGGTCTGGGAATTTAAAATAGCACAACTGTCAAAATTACTGCACACGCGAGTGCATAAAGCAAAATTTATGCATTTATTTAATGCACAACAACAGTAATATGATCTATTTGCAATTCGATTTCAATTCCCAGGTGTCTGAAATCTTTTATGCTTAAGAATTGCAAAGTAATTTCTTAGAAAATTCCGAGGTTGCGTTTTTTTGATACACCCTGTAGAGGTGTCCCGATCGGATTCGGACCAAATTTTACGTGTTCGGATCAGATTGGATTTTGTTGTTTTTTTCTGTCGGATTGGATTTTGGTAGTTTTTCGTTGGATCGAATTGAATTATACAATTACTTTGTGGTTTCCGTGTTTGGATGGCCTGATCCAAACACGCAGGAATGTTACGAGAGTTAAGAAAAGCGCGCGAAATCACGAGCCGAAGTTTTATAGAATACACTTTATAAGACTTTCACTTTAAATTTCCGTGTTTGGATGGCCTGATCCAAAGACGGGTTTCGACCAATCAAATCACGCGTTATATACATCAGTTATCAGGTTTATAATAATTTTTTCTACTGGCCATGTCATCAGATTTTGTCATTTAACGCCATTAAACGTGCGAAACTGAACAGAGTTAAACCACTTTACGTCGGCTTTTTCCGTTTGCTTCACAATTATGATCAGATTTTAGAATTTTAAGAAAGCACGAGATCTCTATAAATTTTTTTTGACCATGGATATTTAAAGGTGATCTACAGTCCGATCTGCGCATGTGCACAAATGAGCCCACTTTTTATGATACAAACAGTTTAACTATGTTTTGAGTTCTTGAAAAGCCTAATTGTTGTTTCTTGATCATTTATTATACTCTAGAAGCTTGAAAATATAAATAGTTGTCGAATAAAGCTCACTATTTTGGACACAAAAATGTAAACAAAGGCTTTGTTTACATACGGACTGTAGATCACCTTTAAAACAATTTGGATCGTCCATAGTCTTTTTTATCATCCATTCTTCAAGTAACATTTATTTGAAGTTATATAATTATGTAACATTCGCTTTCTTAGATCAGATCACACATACGTGATTTCGGATCGGACTGCGATTTTTAGCGGCGGATCGGATCGGATTACGTTTTCAGCTTCGGACCGGATCGGATTCAGAACATGAAGGAGGCCACCAACCTCGTTCTTCCCTCTTTTTGAGGAGGGAAGAGCCTGAGAACGAGGTTGGGAGGCCATTCCGATCCGACGCACACCTCTAATGACAACATTCATACAACAATTGATATTTTTTTTCAGAATATATTTTATTTTAGTACAAGAATTTACTTTCAATAATTCAAAGTGCTTATGGAACGAAATTTTTGCCTCATTTTTTATTATTGCTTCATTAAAAGGTACTGCTCAAATGATGAAGAATGACGTTTACAGTTTATTCGTATCTCGTCTATTTCCCAAGTTATCGCACTTTCTATATTTTGAGTTGTTACGTCGCTAGTATGACTCGAAATAGTGGCAATAACAAGAACATTTGATATCTTGATTATCGTTTCCTAAAATTCAATGAAACTTGGCACACTAATTGAGTGCAACGAATTGAACAACTTGAAAGGAAGATAAGAGATTGGGGACTAGTGTGTTGCCATGACAACCACATGACCTGCCAAAAATATTCATATGGGTACCCCACTAAGTGTACCAAGTTTCATTGAATTTTATTAAATACTCACCAAGATATCAGACTTCCTTTTTATTGCCATTATCAGTTAAAGTTGCGACGTCACAACACAAAATATAGAAAGTGCGATAACTTGAGAATAAGATGAGATATGAAAAAAACTGTAAACGTCATTCTTAATCATTCCAGCAGTACTTTTTAGAAAAACAATTAAAAGTGAGGTAAAAATCAAAGAAGATTGTCAACATCAACATTCTAGTAGCTACAAGCATTAATAAAACAACAGAAGCAGATTACAAAAATTGCAGTGAGACAGAAAAATGCCAGAAAGCTTATCTGCCAATGAAAATATGTTGTAATCTTGTGCATCATGTTGGTCAGACATCCACCCAGAAATAGTTTGTTTTGTCTGTAATTCTGTCCACAGTCGGGAGTTTCAACTTTACAGCAAGAGTCGGGAACAGTTTCATTGTTAAACTTGATATTATGCTGCCAATCTGATGGGCCCTCTACTCCGCAACATTCCAATTTTTGCTGAATGTAATCCAAAATGGGGTCCGCGGTGCTATTTATTTTAGCCATCATATTCTTCCTTATGTCGGACTCTACTCTTTCGCTGTCAAATTTGCTGATACTGTGGCTTAGGCGGACAACCACAACAGTGACCATTATGAAAGCAAGCAGCAAGCAACAGGCCGCAACTTTGGCACCACAACAACAGGCGCAGACGGCTGATAGGAATAGAAAGACTCCAATCGCAATCATGAGTTGGTAAGTTGGCAAGAATTCATGTTGTGTGGCATCTTCTGCATAGAAAAATATTGGCTCCTGAAGCTTCTTTGGGTAGTAGCCAACTATAACTCCCCCTGCAATGAATATAAGATTCCCAAAATACCGAGAAACAGTCCAAAGCACACTGTCGCTTTTGAGACTTTACCATCACCCCTGGCACCTCTGCTCTGACAACAGGCAAACCATCCACCACCAGGAGTTTCTCCACCATAGTGATGAGACTGGTAGCGTGCAGCACGCGATCCTGCTCTTACACCTTCAGAACCAAAACCAAAACAATTGCCCATGATATCAAGTTAACTAAAAAGTATGAAATTCTCGTTTAGTTTTTCATTTGATTTTAGCAATTTAAAACATTAAAATACAATAAATATAAACCAGCATCTAGCTATGTTTTTGTACGTATAGACTTTCGAAAGTCCTTTCCAGACCCTCCTTTGTACGTACCAAAAATGATAAGAGCGTTAAAAATAAAACAAAACGGGGAGCGATTGCAGAATTCCCGTCCACTTTTGAAGACCCGTTAGATCACTAGAAATATCGGTGGCTACGTGGCTAGTGGCTACGCAGTGCCGGCGGAGTTTTCAAAAGAACGAGGCATTGATATAATAAGCGGGTTTTATTAAATAAAATCCGTAATTAAAACGTTTGAGTATGCAATAAGCAATAAAATTGCTGTTAGAATCGTGCACGCAGCGTTTTAATTACGGATTTTATTTAATAAAACCCGCTTGTTTGGGCTTTCTATGGTA